GGAGATAACTTAGGGATTAGTATTTCATTGACTATTCTTATTTTACAGATGAGTAAGTTAAGACAGGAGAACAAGTAACAGGGTCCCAGACACAGGCTTTCAGAGTGATAGAAAATATGACTCTAGCACAGAGGCCTGCTGAGTCCTTGATAATACTTCTGTAGGCTTCATCTAAAATGATTTCAACTCCTACAGATTTGTACATTTGAAGACACCTTTCACCTTTTGGTCTTATTTTTATGAAAGGGCCATCCTCAGAGTGTTTATTCACTTTAGAAACTCAGTGCATATACAGAATCATTTCTTTTTAGTGGTCTTTCAATTTATTGTAAAGACTCAAGTATTTAGAATCCTGTTTTTTTAAAATGTATTTAGTACAGTGTGTACAGGGTGTTCAGGATCTTACTACACAGATCGGACTAGTAGAGATTCCCTTGTTTTCAGCCTCCCAAGTCCTGGGATCAGAGGCGTGCGCCACCATGTCCAGTCTCAATCACAGTCTCAGCATGCCCCTGGGGTGGGGACAGCACAGCGTGCAGGGGACTGAACCCCAACCACTGTGCTCTGCCGACGCAGGCACTTTAGTTTGCTGAGCTATCTGGCCAGTCCTTAGAATTCTTCCTGAAACAAAATAATTCTGTGAGATTAAAACAATATAAGAAGATTTCAGTTTATTTAGTTTGGTAATCAAGGCAAGTAAGTCTGAAGCCATTGTTAAATTGCTTAAAGGTAAAATAAAAATTAATTTTCTTTAAGCATCTTTAAATTTAAATTTTTGGGATTAGGAATAATATTGCAGTTAAAATAAAGCCAAGAGGTATAATTTCATTTACTCAAGATAAAATACATACCCAAGTTTTCAAGTTTGAGCATTGTAATTACTTCTTGAAATTTGACATCTTTTTTTTTATTAATGTTTTCCTTTATATATCAATTACATTTAAATATTTTTTTTGTGTGGTACCAGGAATCAAACTTGGGATCTTGTGCTTGCTATGCAGGTTCTTATGCTGCTGAGCTGTCTCCCCAGCCCATCAATCACATCTATATGTCAAAGAAAGGTAAACATCAATTATATTTCATATGGTTATTTTAAATAATTTCCTATTTCCAGTTACATATTGTCCACTATTTTCCTTAGCAACTGGACTCTGAAAATGAAACTCTTACTATTTCTTCATTAACTCACAAATGTGGCCAACCAATTTTTGGCAAAAATGCAAAGATAATCCAGTGGCAAGATATAGCCTTTTACAAATAATTTAAATTTAATTGGATGTACATGGGCGAAAAAAAAATCACATCCAACCATGGCACATATCTTCAAACCTAACATCCTGGGAAGCTGAGAGACAGGAGGATCAGAAATTTGAGTCCTGCCCAGCCAATTTAGTGAAGTCTATTTAGTGAAGCCCTTAAAATACAAGGTAAAAACGGCAGAGGATGTAGTCTTTGAGAAGGCCATGGTTTCAATCCCCACAAAACAAAACAAAACAAAACAAAACAAAACAAAACAAAACAAAACAAAACCTGTCAGAATAGGTCATAGATCTAAATGTAAAAGCTGCAACTGAAAAACATCTGGAAATCACAAGAAAAACATTGGATTTTGGAAAAATTTCTTAGTTTCAAACCCAAAGCATAAAAGAAAAAAAAAAAAAAAGGAAAAATATAAAAGAAAAAATACATAAAAGAAAAAATACTGGTAAACTGTAATTGATCAAATTAAGCATTGCTTTTAAAAAGATACTATTCTTAAAAGAAAAGCAAGCCACAGATAATTGCAATACTCACATCTGATAAATGAGAAAACAACAAAAATAAGCAAAGGTTTAAGCTAATATTTTAGCAGAGAAAATATATAAAAGATAGTCAATATTATTTTAGAAAGTGCAGACTGAGAACAGCGAGCTTTCAGCATTTCCTGCCGGGATCCCCGCAACGATGAGAGCTGCCAGGGCGTCTCACCCACTCGGGGTGAAGCGTTCAGCTTCTCTAGGCGATGATCTTGGATCTAGCAATAGGGAGGCAGCAGAGTTGGGCAGTGAAGAGAGCAAACAAAAGTTCCTCAGACTTCTGGGTGCAGGAAAGAAGGAGCACACCGGTCGTCTTGTTATAGGAGATCACAAATCAACATCACATTTCCGAACAGGGGAAGAAGATAAGAAAATTAATGAAGAACTGGAGTCTCAATATCAGCAAAGTATGGACAGTAAATTATCAGGAAGATATCGACGACACTGTGGACTTGGCTTCAGTGAGGTGGAAGATCACGATGGGGAAGGCGACGCAGCCGCAGATGATGATGGAAATGATGATGATTCGCCCGATCCTGACAGTCTGGATGATTCTGAAAGTGACTCGGAGTCAGAAAAAGATGAATCTACTGAAGAACTCCAAGCTGCCGAGCACCCTGATGAAGTGGAAGATCCCAAAACCAAAAAAAAGATGCAAAAGCTTTTCTCTCACTGGAGGAATGAAAGGCAAGACCTCTCAGCCGTCCCCAAACTTTGGCCACGGAGGACACAGCACAGAAGACCCAGTGGTTACTGGCACGATCGTTTTGGACTTGCCAGGCTCCACAACTGTAAGAAAAAATTGTTTTCAGTGCTGGGTATGGAACCCAGGATCTCCCATGTGCTGGGTAAGCGCTACCACCGAGCTGCACCCCAGGCCTCTGTAAATTAGCCTACGCATTCTGTCACAAGGATAGATAACAGAGTGACACAGGTGGTTTCCCTCAAAACTGGTAGAAAACTAAATTGTCAGCTGATAGATTACTAAAAAAATAAATTTTAATGAAAAAATAAAAGAAAAAAGAAAGTGTAGACTAAGACCACGATGAGATACTACAGCATACCTGATGGAATATTTAAAATTTAAAACACTGGTCATACTAAGTGGAACTAAGTTTGTAGAATAGCTGGGAATTTCATATGGCACCTGTGAGAATGTGAAGTTACAAATAGTATGCAATTACTCTTAAAACATAATGTGTATATATAACTATAACTATAACTATAACTATAACTATATAACTATAACTATAACAACTATATATATATATATATATATAATTTCTTTTTTTCATATGACCTACCATTTCACTTGTAGGTATTTAACCAGGAGAAATGAAGGCATGTTTCAGGCAAAGACTTGTATGTGAGGGTTCATAGTAGTTTTATGTGTAATAACGCCCCAGATGCTCAGTGATAGGTGAATTATAGGCAAATTTTGGTGCGTGAATACAATCCATACCATTTAGCAATAAAAATATATTGATACATACAACAACATGGATAAATATAAAAATATTTGTACTGAGTAAAAGGGGAAGAATTATACATTTATTTTATTTATGGCTCCATATATATAAAATTCTAGAAAATTCAAACAATTTAGTGACCAAGAAGGCTTAATGTTCTCCTGCTTTGGCTAAATTTAGAGCTTTTATTTTAGAAAACTTAAAATTATAAATAGTCTCTGCCTCTGTGAGATATATATCTTGCCAATTGTACAACTCAGGAATGTCTTTCTCTAGGGCAAGAGTCTAAAGATAATTAGCAAACACCACTGTCCTAATCACATGGCATCTGTACTAACATCCGCCACTATTTTCTACCAATTCACCCCAATATTTAAAACTTTCCTGTCTTTTGTTTCAGTGAATCTGACTTCAGTGTCTGCACTGTTGTAAGTCTCGACCTCTATCACAGTAGTCTGAAATTCAGTCTTCCTAAACCTGGTTAATGCAGTTTTTTTGACGTGTGACAGAAAGCATATCAGTCATCGGTGGGGGTTGGTGAAGGTGTAGGAGACAGGCATTGCAGAGAGGGATGAAGACATGTGGGTGTCTAGATGTAGGGTATAGCAATGGTGCCATGAGAATATTCATATGTCAAAATTTATCAAATTGGTTAGTTATTTATAACAATTGTACTTTAATACAACTGCTAATATATATATATATCAGTTGACCCACCAGTTTGATTTTTTTCTTTCTTTTTTCTGTATTTAGGACAGGGTCTACAGGGTCTCATTTCGTGGATTGGACTCCTAGTGATCCTTCCTGTTTTTCAGCTTCCCAAGCGCTGGGATTACAGGTGCGCTCCACCACACCCAGTCTCAATCACAGTCTCAGCGGGCCCTGGAGGCGAGGCCAGCATATCACACCAGGGATGGAACCCCTGCTGCTGCTCTCTGCTGAATCAGGCCCTTTCGTCCACTGAGCTATCAGGCTGGCCCCAGTTTGACTTTTTAAATGTTACATATATAGAGAAAAGTAGAAATAAAGATATGCATAGTAGAAGAATTTGTAACAAAAATGCTGGAAACAATTTTATCAGGAAGAGAATTATTAAAATAAATAATAGCACATCCATAATATACAGCTGCTAGAAGAATAAGTGGAAAGACCATAAAGTGCAAACTGAAGATTCTTGTATATGTACTTTATTGCATATATTTGCATTTGTATAGAGAAATACATAAGATTATTTGGGAAAAAATCAACACTACGTTCTTAACGAGGGGTTAGAGATATTTTTGCATTGGAATTTGTGCTGATTAGAATTGACACAAGAGAAATACAACTCCTGACCCATTAGATGTCAACTGTGCAGAGTTTGTGGTCTTACAATATTGAGGAATGAAGTTAGGAAAGCTTTATTGGAAATGAGGGGAGGATGACTAGCTCCTGGATTTCCAGTAAAAGTCCTAAGTGGGATGGTCTCTGAGGCCCTTCAGCAGGAGTGATTTGTACACAAAAAATCACAGCATGGGTACAAGCACAACCATTTAACTAATTTGACCCAATAGGGGAATGAGTCACATAGCAAGGGCACATGAAAAGAATTTTGGGAAAGGAGGGGAGTATGGGTCCTGATGTTCTGTTGACCCACCTGTGTGACAGATGCCTACGTGGGCCTACTGGACTGGGTAGTGCTAATTACAGTATAATCTCAAAGTGCTACTTATCTCTAGGAAAGCATGAAGGCCTGGTCACTGTCTCTCTGTCTTGTGCCTTTAGCCACAACCTTGATGCCCTCATGTTTCATGCTGACTTCTTTCAGGGCCCAGCCCCTCTCTGACTGCATGTTAATTTCTGTCTAACTTAGAATGAGTAAGATGACCGGAAATTTTGAATATTATGCTTTATATTATGTTTCATATATTATTGCTTATCTTTGAGAGTTCAAGCCTATTCTTTTTTCTTTATTTCCTCTAATATTGGCTGTTGTTCTAGAGTATTAACAATTATAAGTTGGGCCCTTTTCTATTATTTTATAATTTTCAAAGTAGTATATTAATTTCCTAGTATCCTCCACAACAGCCAATTAAATAGCTTTTTGAGGGGGAGGGGATTAAAAACTAATAGATTTAAACATATTTCATAGGTTTCAATCTATTATCTTTATTATTGAATTGATCAAATTGTCCTATATTTGATTACTACAAACCTATTCAAGTTGGCTCCTGAGTTCTTAGTTTATGCTTCTAAAATGACAGCTTCCTTGATTTCTGGTATGTAAGGTACTTGAAATTCATGTTTTCCATTTTTCCCCAAACTAGAAATTAACTAATTTTCACAAATAGGACTGGGTTCTGGTAATGAGAAAGTGGTGAGAAGGTTGCTCATTGCTATTGGGTGATTTGGGTGATAATTTTTCTATATTTTTTTTAGAGAACAGTGGTTGGAATACTGAATATTTAAAAGCATGAACTCATCATAAATTTTTTTTCTCTAGCTAATGCATGGCTGGATACCTTGGGTATAGAAAGAGATATAAAAAATATACTGTTACTGGTCTTCACTAAACGTAGAATTTTATTGGAATTTACTGATCTAATTCTAAGAACAAAGAAAATAGTAACATGTCTTTAATTAATTCTTGAGTCAATCATTTTTTTTGTTCGTTGGAAAATACTACCATACTTATGAATTCTCTTTATCAGTGCTGGGTTTGTATGACTATATTAAGTAAATTATTAGGCACTTAAAATAATCACTTTAGGAAAACAACTAATTTGAACCAAAAGACTGGGATTTTCATTGTCTTCCATAATCTTGAAAAAAGTGTTACAAATTTTCCCTTTTTAGGAATCTACTTTATCTGCTTTGTATCTGCTTGGAAGTTTGAATTATTCAGGTGGAGAACTTTTGGATATTTACTTGTCTTTTATTTCTATTTTTCTCCTTTTGGAATCTCTTGTTTTCAAGAATTCTATACTTTTCACCCCTAGTTGCTGAATTAAAATTCATGGAATCTGAATGACATTTAAACTAAACCAAAACAAAAAAAACTTCTTCCTCAATTTGCTTACAAATCAATCACCTTACAAAATATTTATAAAAGTTTCCAATACTTTTTATAGATCTGAATTTTCTTGTAGTGTCCAAATTAACCAAAGATCTACAAAACATGATATTTTGTTTCCCTGGGTGGTGTTTATATACAAGTTAATTTACACAAATCCAAACTGAGTACAACTTTTCAGTACCTTCAATTGGTCCCTTTAAAACTGAGTTGGGGAAATCTTAAAATTCAATTTAAATTAGCTTGCTTTGCTAAATTTCACCTGTTTGCAGGTTTCTTACAGTGTTCACATGAACTTTTAACTCAGTCCAGGTTTATTTGAAAGCCAGATTATACTGGCTTTAGATTTGGCCTGGGTGTGTCACAAATGTGTTCCACTGAATTGCAGGCCTTCTCAATCTGAAACTCATCTCAAGAAATTTCATTTTTTTCCTCTTGTGAAAGAAAAAAATCTGGCTGTATTTTAAGTAGGAGAATTGATTTCAAGAGTTTTGAATTTAATGTTGTGCTTTTGAATTTCTACAAATATTTTCATTCTTAATTTAAAAATGTTTTTCTAGCTAAAAAGAGAATCCAACCCTGTGTAAGAGTCATGACAAAAGTTTTCTCATTCCCAATGCCTCATCTATCCGTGGTCTGACACTTAATCACCCTCTGCTCCCAGGGACATTGGAGATTTAGACTTCGCTTCTGCACTCTCTCCCTCTGATTGGAAGAAGTTATTTTCTGTCTTAGTTTGCCAGTCAACAAGTATAATTTTTAGCTACACTTTCTGCAGATTCACTTCTTCCATGAAATCTTCCAATCAAAATTTATGGAATGCCAAGAAGGGGGAAAAACCAAGCTTGCAAGTATAGCGGTGAAATTTATTTTACCTTTGTGAATCAGCCCACATTTTGATGGCTGCTATCTGAGTATTAAGGCCCTACAACTTGCATCACCACGGCACACATGAGTTCAGCCTTTAACACCAACTTGCAGATTTCCTGCTACTAAAATGATGAGAACAAAGACTTCATTATTTACCTTACAGGAACTTATTTGGAATATGGTCAGCTGAATTCAGACAAGGCCCTGATAACTGACTCTTTGCTTTTAAAAACATTATATTATTTATTTTAAAAACAATTTGTTGAATTTAGGCCATTGCCATATGGTGGAGATTAACATTTTTCCTCGTTAGAAGAGTGCGTGTTCCCATACCTTTTCTATCTTTTGGGAATTCCATAGGGAGACTAACATTCAGCAGTAACATACTGTAGAATGCAATTTCTTTAAATTTTTCTCAGACAGCCTCTTTTCAAACATGAAGCTTTGGTTTCAGAGTCCACACATGAACAATTTTTGTATTTTTCCAAAGTAAAAGTTGTT